AGGTGCTGATCCTCAGCCAGGACAGCTTCTACAAGGTGCTGACCGCCGAGCAGCAGGCCAAGGCGCTCAAGGGACAGTACAACTTCGACCACCCGGGTGAGGCCGAGCCCCCGCTGCCCCGCGCCCGTCCCGGCACGGTTGGAGCTCGGGGAGGGGATCAGCGGTAAAAGCGCTTCTTGCCCCGAACGCGCCCGTTTGTGTCCCATGTGCACGCTGCTACCGCTGAACCCGCGCTGCTGCTGTTGCAGTGCACGGCGCGATGAGGGACGGTACCCCGGCTTGCACAAGCGCTGTCTCCTCATTCCCGGCTCTTAAGAAGCTCTAATAAACCCCAACTTACCCCAAATCCTTCCCTGATATGTCTTGTGCCCATAAACAGCTGCTCCCCTCGCTCAGGGCAGGGTTAGGGATTGCAAACAGGACCACGTTCTGCCCCGGTGCCCGCTGTAGGCTCATCAGGGTGGGTAATGAGAAGCATGAGAGATGTCTGAGGTTTTCTAAATTACTCTTAGCCAGCAGATTAAAAGAGTTGCACGAGACTGTACAATTAGTAAGTGGTTTGGTAAAATTACACAATTAAAAGTTTCGCTTTGGGGTTCTTCACTGCAAATTGCAGTGACACTTGCACTATAAACAGCAAGTTCTGTCTTCCTTATCTCTGTTACCAAGTGCAGCAGTTATCACTTGAGTGGAGATTGCTGCTGGTAGGAAAGAATAAGCTGTAAATTCCTCTTTTCCCCGTGGAATACTGGACAGAGTTTTTCCTTCAGGTCTAGAAGACCTGAGCAGAACATTGGATGCAGCAGCATCTATAGTTCTTCCTCTTTAAACCTTCCTCTTGCAGATGCTTTTGACAACGACTTGATGCACACGACCCTGAAAAACATTGTTGAGGGCAAAACAGTTGAGGTGCCGACGTACGACTTTGTGACGCATTCGAGGTAGGTGCGAGGGCTGTGTTTGGGGTGGTGAACCCAGCCGTGGTGTGAAGCCCATTCGACAGCCTGTGCTGGGTGTCTGTCCGTGGCAGGCAGGCAGAGACAACAGTGGTCTATCCCGCCGACGTTGTGCTCTTTGAGGGGATCCTGGTTTTCTACAATCAAGACATTCGGGACATGTTTCACCTCCGGCTCTTTGTTGACACGGATTCCGACGTCCGGCTGTCCCGCAGAGGTAATGCTCTGCTCTGCCATCACGGGCAGCAGCAGCTCTTGTGCCTTATCCATTGTGGTGAGACCGGTGGGTTTTATCTTTCCACCTCAGTTCTGCGCGATATGAAACGTGGGAGGGACCTGGAGCAGATCCTCACCCAGTACACCACGTTTGTCAAGCCTGCCTTTGAGGAGTTCTGCTTACCGGTACGAAATGCTCCACTCGTTTGATTTGTGGGGGTTTTGGGGAGGGGAGAGAAGGAGCAGGGTCGCTTGGGGATGAGCTGCACTGTAGACGCAGCAGTGCTGGCTTTTAGTGTTCATTTTTCACCCATCTCACGCTCTGCCCCATCTATTTAACCATTACAAGTTGCTTGATTAAGGAGCTGAAGTGGTTGGTCCATTCTGCTTGCAAAGCACCATGGAAATCCCAGGAGGCTATTTTAGCATGTGGGCCCCTCTGACTGAAACACTCCCACTCTGCATTTATTCTTAAGTCTTGAGGGAAGAAAGAGGAGCTTGATTTCCTACAGGCTCTCTCTTACCAGGGAACACTGGTGAATACCTGGAGCAGATACCCTTATAGCATCTGTTTGCTATGCCATATAATGCAGGGCCAATCATCCAATTAATTTGTAAAAAACCCTTTGGAAAACAAAATCCTGCTTGTGGATGAAATAAGATGGAAAAGGCAGCTCTTGCTCTGGATCAGAGCAATTCTGGGACTGCAAAAGCACTCATTAAAATGCTGAGTTTGCCAGCCTGTTTAAGAGTGGGGGGAGCAGGGGCTCTGTGGTGGTGGTGATCAATAAAATGTCATCAGAGGCAGGAAGGAATTTCACATGCATATTGAGTACCTCAGTGCTTGGCAGGGATTTAGCAGTGGCTTGTGAAATACTGATGACAACCAGCTCTTAGCAAACAGACCTTGGCCTCGAAGCAGGTAAGCAAGTACTGCAGGCTTGAGGTACTGCTTCTACCTGCTGCTTCTCTGCAGAGGGACAGTAAGAACAATCCCTGATCTTAAATCCAGTATGACTTCTCAAGTCATTTAGGTGTTTGCCATGACCAGTAGCTTTACCTTGCAGCCCAAAGCACAGAAATCCCTCCATCTTAGCCTCCAGCTTTCTGGTGTTGGGTAGCTTCTTCCTAGAGTAAACCTGACTTTTTCCCATTAACAGGCTCTGTTTGTGTTTTGCAGACAAAGAAGTATGCAGATGTGATCATCCCCCGAGGAGTTGACAACATGGGTAAAAGGGAGTTGGGTTCTCTCTTTGATTTCTCTGGGGAGCCCACCTTTGGGGCTGGGAGGAGAGCTGCCTTGTTTGCAGGCTTCTAAGGAAAGGTGTTTAGCTGTCGGGGAGGGAGCTGCTCAAGCCCCTCTGGGATAACCAGCTGCTGAGGGCTGGAAAAAGCAATGTGCTGTCAGGTGCAGAGCAGGACACCAGTGTTAAAACTGGTCTTGCAGTTGGTGGTTTCTGTTGAGGTCTGACCTCCCTGCAGAGGGCTGACAGAGTTTCATTTAAGGGCTTGTTAAAACTTGAGTTGAACAGGGCTGGATGCTCCACATTTTTGAGATAGCTCAGCCAAGAAGGCCTTACATGTGCTGTGTTTCCCATTCCTCTCTGCAGTTGCTATAAACCTCATAGTGCAGCACATTCAAGACATCCTCAATGGAGACATCTGCAAGTGGCAGCGAGGAGCGATGAACGGACACGGTCGGACCTACAAGCGCCCATTCCCGGAGCAAACAGAGAGCAGCAGCGTGCTTGCAGCCGGGAAGCGTTCCCACCTGGAATCCAGCAGCCGTCCGCACTAACCCCTCAGTGTCTGAAGGATCTGCCAGGCCAACGATGAAGACAACTTTGGGAAAGGACTTCCACAGAATGGTTGGTGAAGTGCCCTTCAAATCATCCTAGCGGTGGCGGGGATGCTGGTGTGAAACACTTTGCGTAAGGGAGAGGAAGGAGTTGGCCTGCAGCTCCTCTCCTCTCTGAGACCCTCTCCCTTTTCTCCCTGCCACGCCTGGAGTCCTGATGTTACTTGATGAACTGGTTGGAGGCAGTGCCATTTGCCTTTTTTGAGTTTTCAAAATGAGATCTAATGCTGAAGTCTCCCCTGAAAATTAAGTGCTACTGGGGGTTAGCAAAGCACCCCATTTCCCTAAGGGTGATCTTCCTTAGAGGAAAATTAGCTGCCTGTTGTTCTCAGAAGAAAAAGCAGTCTCTTGGCCAAGACTAGCTCAAACCCTGTTAATTTTTAACAAGCAGATGTAGGCCTTCTCTTCTCCACCTTGTTGGTATCTTGGGTTGTGCATTGCTTTCCTGATGACCAGCCTCCTTTTTACCCTATAGCAGTGTGTGGGGACAGAACAATTCGTCTATAGAGGAATCTCTCCCCTGAGATAGAGGTGAAACAGGGACTGTCTGGGATAAACGGGAACTTGCAGTTCATCAAGTGGACAGGCCCAAGTTGGGTGATTCTGGTTCCCAATTTATTCCTTTCTAAGCTCCCAAACTTTGCTACACTGTATGATTATTTTTTGTACCCAGATAGTTGTCTTTACCACAGTTACTGAATGTGTGAGCTCCAACTGGATTGAGTTGCTCATGGAAATAAGAGACCTGACCTTGTCAGTATTAGTGTCCGTTAGGGCATTTCTGTACTGCTGGTTGCAGATTCTGCTGGGTGGAATCCGTCAGCTTCTGGAGCTGGGTGGTAAGATCAGCAAGGGGGAAAGCTGTGAGTTGCAGGAGCCTCCTTCTGATGGCACAAAGAGCTGCCTTGACACAGTTCTATCCTCCAGCAGGGTCAAAGTGCTTGCCTTGCATTCAGTTTAAACTCGAGAACGTCTGGTTTGCTAAACAGAGCAGACAAGAGGCTGGAAGTAAACAGTGACATCCCAGTTTCTGTCGTTTACCCCAGATAAGTTGATACTGCAGCACCATGAAGTTTCTGGAATGAAATGAAGTGCAAGCTGGCCCTTTGAAAATGTCCTTGTGAAACCCTTCTTGAGTCTGGACTTCGGATGTAACTTTAAGAAGGGATAGGGGGGAGGGAGATTATTAAGGGAAACTTTTTCATATTTGCTGGTTTGCTAAACCCAGGGTCTGGCTGCGTTGGATGTGTTGGATGTATTGGATGTGGGTGTGTGACTTTGGCTGATAAGCAGATGAACAAACAGTGATCAGAAATGACCGTTTTATACAGAAGGTATTTGTGCTTCTTGCACTACAGCAGCACAAAGGTACAGAAAGGAACACGTCTGGGGATGCTCTTAGGACTCAGCAGTTCCTTTTCCTCTTAAGTCAGAATTGTTACTGTTAGTTCTGTAATGGCTGAAGCTTTGGAGGAAAATAATGACAAATGCAGTCTGCACTTTCATCCCTCATAGTCTTTTCAACACTGGAAATCAGTAAAGGTTTGTTATCTGTTAGTGATCCCCACAGCTCAGAGGTACACTTCTGTAATGCTGAGGAGAAAGCTCCTTTCCTAACTGCTGCTGGGTGCTGTTTAGCTCAGGGTGCCAGACTTAGAGTATGAGCTACTGCACTGAAGCATTAGCTATCGGGGCTGACTGAAGTAGGAGCAAAACAGTCACTAAAACCTACTCTGAATGACTGTGGTGTTTGATCATACCTTCCTCTGGGGGTGGGGGGAGCTCAAAGCAGCCTTGAACAGCATTTGTTAGAGCAGTGAGGAATGCTATAAAAAGCACCCTGGTCTGGCTAGGAGTGCTGTTCCTGGTCAGCTCTGAGCTGTACTGCGAGATCCTGCTGCTGCAGCCACATGAGGAAGATGAATCAGATGTGGTGTAGGTACTATAACCCTTGCTGAATACCTGTACAGAGCTATTACAAAGCTCTGCACAGATCACTGAGCTTTCCCTGTACAGCTCACCGAGCGATCCCTGTCCTTCACGTGCACATTTACTCTGAATTCCTCTGCTGGGGCAGGCCAGGGCATGGGCTGCGTTACAAGGGGTTTACCCTGAACCCATGTGTACAAGTTGGAGCAGGTTTCTTGTCAGCATGATCAGTTCTGCCTCGAGTTCCTCTTCCTATGAGACTGAGGTGTAACCCTGCAGCCCACTAAATGTGATCCTGCCATTGCTAGTAATAGGCCATAGGCTTCATAGGACTGCCACAAGGCCAAAGGATTCTTCTGGTTTTGGCTGACTTCCTGGCCTGCCTGAAGCTTTGTTTTAGCTTATTTAGCTGTAACAGCAATTTTTGTAATGTCTATTTGTTTTATTTTTGCTTAACTTCATAAAAATTATGGTTATGCCAAATGATTATACATAGATAATAGTAACAAGTCATTACTCTATGCAGAATGAACTATTTATAAACTTGGCTTAGTGCTGTAAAGTAATGAAATAGGGATGATTGATAGCAGAGCATTGGAAGTGGCGGCAAAGAATGCATTGTTGAGGAATACAGTCATGGGATGATGCTGGAGATTGCAGGGACAACTGGTGAAGGTTAAAAATGTGTAAGCTTTTGAGCTGGAAAACCCCAGTTTTTAGGAATAAAAAGAAAACAGAAGAAAGTATCTATCTGAGATGTTGGAAAGTAGCAGCCATTTATAGTAACTTGTAACATGGAATTCCAGACCAAGATGCTAGGAAACATAAAATAGCCTCAAGTGCAATGTAGTGCAAGAAGGAAGGAACCATCACTATCATACTCCCAGGACAGGAAGAAGAAACCCTTGTAGTATGCCCTTCCCTGCAAAGGAGCTGGGATGCTGTTGCCTGAAGTCAGCAACCCTGAGGAGCAGGGGAAGGGTGAATGTTACAAGGGTAGAAACTGGGAATTGTGTTCATAACAACTCTGTTACTGTCGAGAGCTTTCTGTAAGTGTTCTTTTATTTTCTTTTCCTGTAATAATTAGAGCTGAACTACTGTCAATTATTTGATCAGTCTGTTAAGGTACACTATCAATAAATTGTTGGCTTTGCATAAAAGGTGTTTCTTTTTGCCTGTAATGGCATGGTAATTGTCACTGTTTTCGGATCAGGATGTTCCAGGTGTCCTTCCAGCGCAAGTCCTTCAGTTCAGTAACAGACAGGGAGGGCTCCCCATAGGTCACAGGGCTGAATGTGCAATACACAAAGTAAACTGAAGAGAACCAGGCTACGATCAATGCAGTGAACATGCTCTTGAGAAGCACAGATCTGGGATGAGAGAAGTGGGGGGAAAAGCAGTTACATCGAGGCTGGTCAAACACTTCATTCAAAAGGAAGACTCTCTTCGTTAAATGCACTATGGCCACTGCTGGCAAAACCACTGCTTTCCCTGCAGCAGCTTGCCAAGGTGCCAACCTGGGAGAAGAGAACAGTGTCTCTTCTCTTGTCTACCAATCTGTTAAAACCAAATACCTGCAGAGGTGATCACTGATGTGCTGTAATACGATGGGAATCAGGAGAATCTGGAATGTGAGGGCAGGCAGATAGTGGTACAGGAACAGTGTTTTCTCCATGCCAAAGAAGGGCAAGTAATTCACAGCCCAGCCTCCAACACAGATCCCTCCAGCTGATACCCAGAGCTGCCATGCATCTGCAGGAGAGAGGAGATAAGTCAAAGCATAGTCCCTGGAAGTATGAAGTGTCTAAGAGGTTGTCTATTGTCATGGTTTGGTTTTTACCTCCCGCTCTCTATAGTTTGTACTAATACAACCTTTAACTTAACCACACTTAACTGAGGGAAACGATTATGTTTTGTCACGCAAGACTGTAAGTACCCAGCAAGACAGATCAGAGCCCATATGGAGCAGCTTCACAGCATGACAACAAAATAGACTGCCAGAAAGATCAGCATTAAACTGCCCGGCCCCGCAGAGATGGTACCTCAGCAGGAC